ATAGGAGTACGAGCTATAGTATGTCTGGTTATATCAAAAATATTAGAAAAGCGCTCTAGTAACGAAAGAAGATCTTGTTTGTGTTGATCATTCTGAATATTTTCAACAAGAGAGTGTAGATGTTGTGTTACTATAGGATTACGTAATTCCTTCGAGGGTAACACAGTTTCTGTTACAAAAGAACTGGTTCGATTAGTACACGTACTATTATTGTTGCTTAATTTCGATGAACGATTACTAGAATCACTAATTATTGTCAAGTCATTAGATACTGGAGTCATACCAGTACGTCTGGTAGCTCCAAAAAAATGATGGTACGATGAATAAAAGGTACGAGGATGTTGGAACATAGAACAACACAACAAATACCCTAGACATGTACCTTTTCGTATGACTTTTGGAAATCTCTTGGTATTATATAATATAAGATCACTACGATAATTTTGAAAGTTAAGATGTTTGTTCTTATTGTCAACAAGTACGTAAGTTTTAAATGAAGAAGCTGGAATAAATGGTAAAGAAATAGATGAAATAGGAATGGCAACTGGAATTTTTCGTGTGGAATTAGAAGAAAGTAATACCGTGGTAGAAGAAATGACCGGTATTCTAATAGATTTTGTTACATTAACGATCGGAACTACAATATGATGATTATGTAACTGAATAGTAACCATCTGTTTCTGAACATTTATATTCATATTATATTTATTAATGTAATCCATGCCTATTATCATATCTGTACATAAATGTTGAGCTATGTAAGCTTTTATCGGAGTAAAAAAATTATTAAATTCAACCGATAAATCTACTGATCCAAGAACATTAAATGATGCAATACCGTCAGCTAACAAAAAAGAAGATGATTGCTTTAGTATAGAATTCATTGGTACTAAATGATGTAGAATTTGATTATTGATGAAGGTTTTGGTGGCTCCGGTGTCTATTAAGATTTTAATTTTATGTTTATTTACCAAAGCGTATATAAAAATTAAAGGAGGCTTTGATGGATTTAAAAGCATATTCCCGGAGTCAACACCATCGTACGATGACTCCTTTACTGAAAATTTGGGCATGACGAAGCGTCATGTCCCATAGAATTACAGAGATGACAAACTACTGTTGAAAGAGAGTCAAGATTATCATCATGATTAGGTGGTAAGGTTGATGTAAAAACTGCATTAACTGAGCGAGAAGTCGCTTTATTATCAGGTTGTGCAAAACTTTTATGTGGTTGTATATTTTTCTGCTTACGACTACCTGTATTATCATTGTACTTATTTGTTGATAAAGAATGACGTGGTGACTGATAATAATAATTCGAGTTAGAAGCCTGTGTTCGATTCTGTTTAGATACATAATTGGGATCAGATGTATAGTTAGATGATCCTTGATAAGCACGAAAACTAGTTCGTGGTATTGAACGATAATTACTGTTAGTACTGTTGGAAAACTGTACGGAAGTGGCACTCGAAGTATTGTCACTCGTAGAAAAAGTTTTTGGTTTAGAAGCAGAACTAATAGTTGTATTTGTACTGATGTTAGATAACTGTAATAGTTCTTCTATTTCTTTTGCATGCTCAAGAAATTCAGCAGGTGTTTTTGGCTTTTTTTTGCGTATCTCTAGTTGCATGCTAGGCTTTACTTTGTTTAATAAATTTTTCAATTTAGTCGACTCGCTCATGTTAGGATCAGCCTTCTTACATAAGTTTAGAACTTCATTAAAAAAATTACGGACAGATTGTTTCTCCCCTTGAGTATATGACTCAAGGGTTTTAAACGCTAGCTCTTCCGAAAAAGACGAAGTAAAAGCTTTTTTAATTTCTTGAACAAATTTATCCCAACTAGTTAATACTGATTGGTTATTACGAAACCATTGACAAGC